ACAGTGAAAAAAGTTTTTTGTTTTTAAATCCAAGCTATTGTGACACCAGATGTAATTGGTGGCACTGACTGGGGAAATGGGCACTGTGAGCCTGACACTGAAGCTGGCAGCAGTGGCAGACAACTAAGTGCATTTACATTAGATAGAAAAAAAAAATCCAAAAAAAGCATACCCTTATCCCTAACCTAGCTATGCTTTTCCCTATCTTATGAACAGCAACTACACTTTCCCTCCTCTTACTAAGCATGCAGCTTGAGAATGAATCTAAAATGGATGCTGTCCAGTAGGTGGGAGGGTCTGCTAGGGAGGCTGTGCTGCTAAGTGGCTGGAATGTGTCTGCTGACTGTGAGGTACAGGGTCAAAGTTTACTCAATGATGACGAATAGGGGGCGGGTCGAACCGCGCATATGTTCGCCCGCCGTGGCGAACGCGAACATGCTATGTTAGCCAGGAACCGTTCGCCGGCGAACCGTTCGGTACATCACTAGTCTCCAGTTAGGAGGACGACCCAAGCCTCTTCTTCCATCTCCCTGTTACAAAATCAATGCCGTGTACACGACCACTGATAGGAGACGCGGAAGGTATTAAACTGATCAGAACAATACTAAACACACCACTCCTATCTGGTGTCACATTAGCTTGACCGCGCAGTGCCCCAAATTTGCAGTAAGAGGACCCGACCAAGCCTCTTCTTCCATCTCCCTGTTACAAAAATCAATGCCGTGTACGCGTCCACTGATAGGAGACGCGGAAGGTATTAAACTGATAAAAATAGTACTAAACACACCACTACTATCTGGTGTCACATTAACTTGACCGCGCAGTGCCCCAAATTTAATGTGATCTGTGAGTAAGGTAAACGGTTGTCCATACAAGTAGGTTGCAGCTTTTTGAGGGCCCACACCACCGCCATGCTCTCCTTTTCAATGGCATTGAATATACTTCGCTGTGCAAAAGTTTACGGCTTAGATAAAAATCAATGCCGTGTACACGTCCACTGATAGGAGGCGCGGAAGGTATTAAACTGATCAGAACAATACTAAACACACCACTCCTTTTTTTTGGTGAGGCTTTACAGGACAGAGTGCTTCTCCACGGGACATGTTAACTCACGGGCAGCTGGCTCATAAAAGGAACCAGAGCAGCTTTCCATGTACAGGTAAGACACGTGCAGCCGGTAAGGGTTCAGGCTCTTCTTCCTGGAGGATACGCTGCAAGCCTGTTGAACGAGGTGACCTTGCTCGGGTCCCAGGTGTGCGGTTCCTAAAATGGCTGCCATATACACGTCCACTGATAGACGCGAAAGGTATTAAACTGATCAGAACAATACTAAACACACCACAAATAAGGTTTCTCTCCTGTATGGCTCCTCAAATGATGCTTAAGATTAGAAGCGGCTAAAAAGCATTTCTCACACTCCGAACAAAAATATATTTTTTTAACATTCTCTCCACTTTGAACGAAATGACGTTTGGGAAGAGATTAACATAATTAAACAAAAAATATATATGAATACCGCACTCAATGTTGTAAAATAATAAACCGTAGATAAAGCAGTACTGTAATTGAATTTATTATTTTCAATTCTTTGATGTCTAGGTATATAACTTAATATGTGAGATTATAATTTAATCAATGAATATATTACATCATATAGTCAATCGCTATTTACAAAAATAACCTCCATAGGTGTTATATAGATAAATAATTGATATATAAACACAGTTGTAAGGATTCCTGTTTGCAAATCTAAGGAAAACCTATCCATATGGATAATAGTTGAATCTGTGGTGTTCTATGTACATAGAAAAAAGAAAAAAGAAAAAATGAATAAAAAAATGAAAAAATGAAAGAAATATGAAAAATGATGAAAAATTGAAAAAATATAAAAGAGAAAAAAATGGCCCATGTACTGTGACGACACTTTCATTGCGGACAACTCCGATTTGATACACAGCAGCAACAACTTTGAGGGAGACATATGAGGACCACATCTGACACCTTTATTGAGTCCTTTTTTCAGCGCACAGCAGGAATTCAGCAGTTTAAAATCCTCCAATAGACACTTCACAGAGTCTTCATTCATTCATTTTTTCCAGTTGCTACTAAGGCTACAATCCATCTGGATATTCAACTTGGTGAGATCCACCTATTTATTATATAAAGTGCACTATTCTCTGGACTATTGTACATCAGGACATTTACTATCTGTACACTTTTTATTTTTATTTTTTTTCTCTTTTATATTTTTTCAATTTTCCATTTTTTCATTTTTTATTCGTTTTTTCTTTTTTCTTTTTTCTATGCACATAGAACACCACAGATTCAACTATTATCCATATGGATAGGTTTTCCTTAGATTTGCAAACAGGAATCCTTACAACTGTGTTTATATATCAATTATTTATCTATATAACACCTATGGAGGTTATTTTTGTAAATAGCGATTGACTATATGATGTAATATATTCATTGATTAAATTATAATCTCACATATTAAGTTATATACCTAGACATCAAAGAATTGAAAATAATAAATTCAATTACAGTACTGCTTTATCTACGGTTTATTATTTTACAACATTGAGTGCGGTATTCATATATATTTTTTGTATGATATTTATGGGGCTTTCTTAGGGATAACCTCGAATACCAGCACCACCTATGTGATTGAGTGCCAGCATAAATTATCTTTTTAACATAATTAAACACAGGCAGTAAAAATACAGTTTTTAGCCATACACTGTAACTTTAAAACTACACATCCCATCTTCATAATTACATATTTGGAATCAGCACACTTAAAACATAAACATAACCAAAAATCAGCCAAATACATCCAGGGGTTAAAAAGTTAGCTGGAGGTCCCTTTATGACCAACCGCAAGCACATTTTCCTGCCCAAAACAGTTCCATAGATTTGGGCTGTGAGGTCGGTCTATTTCAGGCTGAAAAAATGACTAAGTCCCATCGCTGAATGGGACTTAGTCTCTGCAGCTGAAATAATTTCCCATTTACTGAACCAAGTGGGAAATAGCAAGGCAGGCACAAAGGGTTTGCACCAGGTCTGGGGACACAGGGGACACCGTCTTAAAGGGGCCGTGTCCCCAACAAGTCTGGGGACACGGCCTTAAAGGGGCAGTGTCCCAATCTTTCTGATGTCCCATGTCCCAAAAAAGGTGTTTAAAGGGCCAGCACCAGTCACATAAAGAGTCCATAAGCCCCAATATGCCCACCGACAGTCTTAAAGGGCCATACACACCAAATAAAAGTGCATACATTTTCACAATCTCCCAGGGGCCATAGTCATGCGGGAGGAGGCTGGCAAATAGGCTTCTCCACAACCCAGGGAAGCAGGGCAATTTGCCATTTAAAGGGACGGTTACAAATAGCAGTTTGTAACAAGGTGTCAATCCATATCTGCCAAGTGACCCTATGTAGGGGTAACAGTCCCTATTCTGCTCTGTGTCAGTGTGTATCATGGTCTCTGAGGACTGGTGTCAATCCATATCTGCCAAGTGACCTCTATGTAGGGGACAGTCCTATTCTGCTCTGTGTCAGTGTGTATCATGGTCTCTGAGGACAGGTGTCAATCCATATCTGCTAAGTGACCCTATGTAGGGGACCAGTCCCTATTCTGCTCTGTGTCAGTGTGTATCAGGGAACCTTAGGACAGGTGTCAATCCATATCTGCCAAGTGACCCTATGTAGGGGAACAGTCCCTATTCTGCTCTGTGTCAGTGTGTATCAGGGATCCTTAGGACAGGTGTCAATCCATATCTGCCAAGTGACCCTATGTAGGGGACCAGTCTCTATTCTGCTCTGTGTCCGTGTGCATCAGGGGCTCTGAGGACAGGTGTCAATCCATATGTCAAGGTGTCAATATGTCATATGTCAGGTGTCAATCCATATTGATTGTGATTTAGGAATGTTAGGTGATTTCTGCCCTTTATGGATTAAAACCAGACTCTGTATCAACTGTGTAATTTTCCATGGGAGTTTTGCCATGGATCCCCCTCCGGCATGCCACAGTCCAGTTGTTAGTCCCCTTGAAACAACTTTTCCATCCCTATTGTGGCCAGAAAGAGTCCCTGTGTGTTTTAAAATTCGCCTCCCCATTGAAGTCAATGGCGTTTCGGGCGGTTCGCCGGTTCGCGAACATTTGCGGAAGTTCGCGTTCGCCGTTCGCGAACCGAAAATTTCGGGTTCGCGACATCACTATCCCTTATGTGGAGTCTCCACATTTTATTGTATTTCAAAATATATAGATAGTATTCAGTTGATTTATGTCCTTAATTAATTGCCATGAAATAAAATTATTAAACATTTGCAACTCAGTATGCATGTTTATTGAAAAGGCAAATAACATGCAAGCAGGAACGTGAACATGTTAAGAAAATGCTTTATATAATTCTTGCAGGTCTACATAATATCTAGAATGGCCAGAAGGCAGTGTTTTCCCTACAATCTTCTCCAGCTTTATCACTAACATTTAGGACACAGTTTAACAGTGGTGTCTGCTTTCGTAGCTGTGCTTGTTTCTGGAGATATGGCTGAAGTTTATCCGACTGCTTGCACTCAATCCTCATTTGTGATGATGTCTGCTTCCACTGTGAGACAATCTTCCTGAGCTCAAGTGTAGCACAGCTAAATAACATGAACATGACAACAACATAATGAGACATGCATCACTTGAATTTTTTTTTTTAATAAAGTAAAGAATGCTGCACTCTCCGAGTCCCCAAGTGCAACCAAGCCTGAGGTTGGCCAGGCTTCACTTTACAGATAAGAAGAATAAGCAATGGTCCAGGTACTCAAGGTGGCAGTTTTATTTCAGCATTAAGCAGCAATATTTTGACCCTACTAGATCTTTGTCAAGTTATTTTTTTTTGAAACCGGCAACAAACACTTTTAAACAAATATACAAGCTAAAATATAGTAAGAAAAAGTTTGAAAAGTATATAATAAATGCCTAATTTGATCAGATTGCATTGTTGGGCAAGCCTCCCAGCTAGGGGAGTTTATTCAGCCTCACTCCTCTCAGTTTCAGACCAGTCCACTAATGACTCAAACAGGGCATCATTGTGCAGAAGCCGGAGAAAGTAACACGACACCGGAGACTGCTCCACATGATCACATTGATCAGACTCCCTCTCTTCTCCCCTGTCAGGATTTTGCATGGTGAAGAGATATTACATCTGCACATGTGTAAATCTGTCAGGGATGCCCAATGCACTTTTCCAGCATTCCTAGGGATAGGACGCTGATAGGTTAGATCAGGTGTCGGTGTGGAAAGCACAAGAAGGAAGAAGCAGGAAAATATGAAAAAAATAAATGTACCTGCTCTTTAAGCCTGCAGAGTAAGGCACTGTCTCTTTCAAAGCTAAAGCTTTTAATTGAGACAGTTGTGTCAAGGTGATGTCCCTTTAAGTAGTTTTACATTTATTTTGGTTATGAACTAACTTTACAACTATTATGTTCAGACTAGAATAATCTACAAATTGAGGTCTTAACAAATTAAATTAATCAACAATATAAATCTTAACATTTAACCAGTTACCACTTATCAATACTGAAAAATAAGAACTAGAACTAAGTGTGTGCATGGGGTGCAGTGGCGTACATACCAGGGTCGCAGGGGTCGCGGCTGCGACCGGGCCCGGCCCACCAGGGGGCCCGGCCGCCCCTGCGACCCGGTATGTAGCCACTGGGCCAGCCTCTTCTCCTGGGGGGCCCAGGAGCCGGCCACCCCAGGGCCCCCCGAGGCTGGCCCTGCTGACCCCGGCGGGCTGGCTATCTAGGTGGCCGGTGCGCGAGGGAGCACTCTCCCCTGTGTGCTCCCTCTTCAGCTCCCTCGCGCACCGCACTGATGCCGGAGCCGGAAGATGACGTCATCTTCCGGCACCGGCATCCCCATGCGGCGCGCGAGGGAGCCGAAGAGGAAGCACACAGAGAGTGCTCCCTCGCGCACCGGCCACCTAGATAGCCAGCCCGCCCGCCGGGGTCAGCAGCACCACTGGACCCCAGGGAATCCCCCCAGCACTCCAAAAGGTAAGGAGGTTGGGGGGATTAAATTTTTTAAAAAATGTGTGTGTGTGTGTGTGTGTTAATGTGTGTGTGTGTTAATGTGTGTGTGTGTGTGTTAATGTGTGTGTGTGTTAATGTGTGTGTGTGTGTTAGTGTGTGTTAGTGTTTGTGTGTTAGTGTGTGTGTGTGTGTGTGTGTTATTGGGTGTGTGTCTGCTAGTGAGTGTGTTACTGTGTGTGTCTGTTACTGAGTGTGTTTGATGTCTGTTAGTGAGTGTGTGTTTGTCAGTGAAAGTGTATGTTTTGTGAGTGTGTATGTGTGTGTGTTTGTTAGCTAGTGTGTATGCGTCTGTTCGTGAGAGTGTGTGTCTTCAGCATTTACCTTTCTCCAGCGTCGGACTCCCTTGGCGCTGGGGATCCCTCCTCCTCTCAGCTCCGAATGCACATGCGCGGCAAGAGGCGCGCGTGCATTTAAACCGCCCATAGGAAAGCATTACTCAATGCTTTCCTATGGGCATTCAGTGTCTTCTCACTGTGATTTTCACAGTGAGAATCGCGGAAGCTCCTCTAGCCGCTGTCAATGAGACAGCCACTAGAGGCTGGATTAACCCTCAGTGAAACATAGCCGTTTCTCTGAAACGGCTATGTTTTCAGCTGCAGGGTTAAAACCAGAGGGACCTGGCACCCAGACCACTTCATTGAGCTGATGTTATCTGGGTGTCTGTAGTGGTCCTTTAAGTGTGTGTGCATGCCGCGGTCGCGGGGTCGCAGCCCTGCAACCCCTACGACCAGGTGCCCGCAGCCATGTGTTGCGGCCCCGATCCGCGCCGAGTAAGCGCGGGGGGGGATGGGGGGCCACGGATCAATTTTTGCACCGGGGCCCCATGGGTCATGTGTACGCCACTGATGGGGTGGGGTATGATTTAACTTTCAAAAGGAATGTTTTTTTATTAGGATTCATGTTACAGGTACGTAAGTATATATGTTACCTTTTGTGCATAAGTGGATGTTAATAAATAATATGTTAAGAGGGAAAGAAGCTATTCAATACAGTCTCTAAATATTTTTATTTTTATTCTTTATAAACTTGCACAGTAGAACAAATTGTTTCAGTTGAACTACAAAGTCCGAAAAAAATAAACATTTTCAGAAAAACTAATCAGATGAGCCAAAAGAGCATGAAAATTATCCAATAAGTGGACTGCAAAATATATAAATAACATAAAGTATCTCACAAAAGTGAGTACACCCCTCACATTTTTGTAAATATTTTATTATATCGTTTTATGTGACAACACTGAAGATATTACACTCTGCTACTGTAGCGGAGAGATGATTTCCCACAGCTTAACTCCACTGGTGCATTAAAATAATTCAGGAACAAGTAGTAAATCCAATAGGGTAACAAACACAATCAGCAAGGCAATCCAATAATATCCCATCACCTTTCTCAAAAACTGGATGACACACAGTATCAGGAGTAGAACTGAGGTTTAATGACACAATCCCTGCTTTTATGTGATTCTCCCATGCAAGGGAGGCACCCACCATAATTATTACAGTAACCAATCACATAGACGTTACCTCCCACACATCTCCTCTCCTTAGCTTGACAGTTAACATAATTATAATATGCATACTTTTCCCCAATTCTTGGATGTACCCCAACTATGGTAGGTATACCTTTAAATGTGGTACCCCCTGGTAGCCTTAATCTGGGTGAGAAACATATTCAGAAATCACCCATATCAGACCAGGGGTTCGGGAGTTATGGGGAAGCAAAGATTTGACCGACCGCATGGGCAAAATAGCTGAAAATAGTTCCATGAGTTTTGGCCCTGCAGTCGGTCTATGTTCGTGCAAAAAAGTCCCGAAAGTATATGCCATCCAGGGGTGAATCAGCATTCGGATGAATCCCCTTGTTCGTGGGATTCATCCTACCGAACGACGGGCTGTTCGTGAGTTTCAGTAAGTACTTTCTGTAGCCCTGGAGGTCTTAGCGGTGTTCGGTTAGCTGAGTGTCCGATTTGAGTTCCAGACACTCGACGACCAAACACCGCTGTTTGGGGGTTTAAGATGGCCGCCGCCACGTGTTCAGCTGCATTAATGCCGGCCACCCAGTGAATACAGCAGAGCGTTTGTGTGTTTTAACAAGGGGAATGTAACGAGCATACAGGGAGGTAAATTACAGCCACCCTTCACATCAGGGTGGTCCGGTTGTTCTGTACTTTAGTTCGGATGGTGAATACAGCCGTTCACATGCAGACTTGTACAGCTTTTTACCGAACAACTTGATGAATCTTAGTATGGCCACATATAGTTACAGGAAAATCTTTATAATACGTTCACAGGAAAACTTTTAGGTTTCAACAGTAACATTATGAAGGGAATGTATTGGACAGCCAAAGGGGTTCTGCTACAGCTACAATATAAAGTAGGAAGTTTACAGCCTGTATAACAATGTAAATTTGCTGTCCCCTCAAAATAATTCAACACACAGCTATTAATGTCTAAACCGTTGGCAACAAAAGTGAGTACACCCCTAAGTGGAAATGTCCAAGTTCGGCTTAAAGTGTCAATATTTTGTGTGGCCACCATTATTTTCCAGCACTGCCTTAAACCTCATGTGCATGGAGTTCACCAGAGCTTCACAGGTTGCCACTGGAGCCCTCTTTCACTCCTCCATGATGACATCATGGAGCTGGTGGATGTTAGAGACCTTGCGCTCCCCCACCTTCCGTTTGAGGATGCCCCACAGATGCTCAATAGGGTTTAGGTCTGGAGACATGCTTGGCCAGTCCATCACCTTTACCTTCAGGTTCTTTAGCAAGAAGTGGTTGTCTTGGAGGTGTGCTTGGGGTTGTTATCATGTTGGCATACTGCCCTGCGGCCCAGTCTCCGAAGGGAGGAGATCATGCTCTGCTTCAGTATATCACAGTACATGTCGGCATTCATGGTTTCCCTTAATGAACTGTAGCTCCCCAGTGCCGGCAGCACTCATGCAGGCCCAGACCATGACACTCCCACCACCATTCATGACTGTTGGCAAGACACACTTGTCTTTGTACTCCTCAGCTGATTGCTGCCAGACACACGCTTGACACCATCTGAACCAAATAAGTTTATCTTGATCTCATCGGACCACAGAATATGGTTCAAGTAATCCATGTCCTTAGTCTGTTTGCGGGCTTTCTTGTGCATCATCTTTAGAAGAGGCTTCCTTCTGGGATGACAGCCATGCAGACCAATTTGATTGTGTGCAGCGTATGGTTGAGCACTGACAGGCTGACCCCCCACCCCTTCAAACTCTGCAGCAATGCTGGCAGCACTCATAAGTCAATTTCCCAAAGACAACCTCTGCATATGACGCTGAGCATGTGCACTCAATGTCTTTGGTCGACCATGGCGAGGCCTGTCCTGAGTGAAACCTTTCCTGTGAAACCGCTATATGGTCTTGCCTACCTTGCTGCAGCTCAGTTTCAGGTTCTTGGCAATCTTCTTATAGCGTAGGCCATCTTTTCTTTCCTTGCGACAGGATGAGCAACAATTCTTCTTTTCAGCTCCTCAGAGAGTAGTTTGCCATGAGGTGCCATGCTGAACTTTCCATGACCAGTATGAGAGAGAGTGAGAGCGATAACACCAAATTTAATTCACTTGCTCCGCATTCACACCTGAGCTTTTGTAACACTAACGAGTCATATGACACCGGGGAGGGAAAATAGCTAATTTGGCCCAATTTGGACATTTCCACTTAGGGGTGTACTCATTTTTGTTGCCAATGGTTTAGACTTTAATGGCTGTGAGTTGTGTTATTTTGAGGGGACAGCAAATTTACACTGTTATACAGGCTGTACACTTACTACTTACATTGTCGCAGAGTGTCATTTCTTATTTTTTTTCTTTTGGATTTTGTTTTTACTTTTTGCAAATTAGGTTTAATAAAACACTGCATTTAGCCAGTCTTATTTACAAATGTCCTTCTCTGACTCCAAAGAAGGTTGTTTTCTAAGAATATTTTGGGAACTATCTAGAAATACTTTAATTTGTGCTTATTTTATCTATGCATAAGGACTGCTGAGTCTGAAACAGTTTGAGTTTCCTCTCTGATGCAGTTCTATGTGCCTAGTGTATGAGTACAAATAGTTTATATTTCTCTGCATCCAATTAATCTTGGCTTACTTCTTTAACCAGCAGCCTTCTTTCTTGCTCAGAACTTGATCTTAAATTCAAGGTACATTTTATTCAATGTATAAATCGCTAAAATGGAAAAATTATTTAAACTTAAAATGTACTGTGAATCCACTTCCATTGATGCAAGGCATCCGTCTTTGATGTCATCCCAATCCAGCCCAGGAACCCAAAAGAAACAGCGCCTGAGCCAAGTAGAATGGAATTTGAGAAAGCTAAATCTTACTTGTTTTTATTATTTTTAGTCTTTGTTTTTTTTTCTTTTTACTTTATCTTATATTTTAAAAAAAAATAATGTTCATTGAGTAAATACCTCTATACCTAGAATCTGTGGAAGAATGCTCTCTAACATATAAATGTGCAAGATTGTGTTAGCATTGCTCTAAATGTTAAAAAAAATATATTTTGTACATCTTGTTTTTCATGTATCTCTTATTCTTAATATCCATATCTACTGAACCATATTGCTGTAAAAATGTCCAGAATCAACAGAAACTAAACACACTGAGTGGAATAGCACCAATACCGAAGAACACAAAAGTCTTGTTGAACCAAATGCATTGTATGATATATATATATATATATATATATATATATACATAAAAAATAATATTGCAATCATACATACACATAATATTGCAATCATACATTACATTCTTTTTTTAAAAATTTTATGTATATATTTACATAAATATATATATATATATATATATATATTTCATGTGCAATTCAACCCAAAAATAAGTATGTAACTATGTACGATAAAATCACATTCACTTCCTGCACAGTGCCATGACATCATCAGTCTGAGTAATTGTCAAATTCAAACACTGTCTGGCCCAAGGTGTATGTATTTGGCTAGAGAATCCTGCCATATACTGAAAGGAGGGTGAGTTTTTCTCACGTTTAAACAAAATCTATTTCCTTTCAATACTTGATTAAAGGATTATTATGTTAAACATTTGTTTTGACAGTTGTCCTTTAACAAGTTGCAGATGAGGTGTTGCATTTGGGTTCAGTGTCAATGCATACTTGACAGTTATACAGTCTCTGGAAATACTTCAAGCAGTAATACAGGTAGCATGTTCATCTCCCATGTTAAAATTATATAGCAACCCACCACTGTTGTGGTACTTTAACAGTATTTGGCTTAATACAATGTTACCTTTTTGGTGTGACCAAACCTCCATATTTCTGGACAAGATAGATTTTATGTAGCCTATAAGTTTTAAAATGATTTATATTTTGTGTGTGCACTTGTAGCTGTTTGTCCATTTGATAAAAATTGAGGTAATTTGATCTTAATCACTGTTAAGAAATATGTATTTTAAGTGTTGTCCCTCGAATCCCTACGTGCTTCCAAACCCGTCATAATTTTAATCAAGCAGTTTACGTGTGAGTCATTATGTGCAGGTCCACATTTGACTGTATATTAGATACTTATTTTTGTCAAATCCTATTCATACATTTCCGTTATTATAAACTCTTATAAAATGATGACGTCAAAACATTTGCAACTGAATGAATCTTTATTGAAGAAACACATATACTATAAGCAGGAACAGAAAAAAAAACTTGAGAAAATGTTTTAAATGGTACTTTGGGGTTTAAAGAAAGTCTACAGAATTTGGCTCTACAATCTACTTTTATATTTCAGCACTAACATATATAGATATGCTTCTAATTTAGCAGTGGTGTCCGTGGCCAGAGCTGTGTTTGCCTTTTGAGAGGTGGCTGACGCCCCTCCCACTGCTGGCACTGAATCCACCCTTATGATGAAGGGTACCCCCGCGCTGGGACGATCCTCCTGAGCTGTTTTGTCCTCCGGTGCTTGAGTGCAGCACAGCTAAATAGCAAAAATGTAACAGGTCAATCAAACCAAAATAGATGGATTTCAACTATGAATCATTTATTCAATTTATGTGCACAATAGTTCTCTGAAATGCTGGTACGAATCATCTACCTTGTCATAGTATCACTTTAAATCAAAGGCTTTTAATGGAATTACATTACCAATAAGTTTGCAATTCTGATTAAATATATTACACATTATTATACATTTTCTCTGCAAATTATGGTGGCTGATAAAATGTGACACAATTCTTTACGGGTATTATTTTAGTCTCAATAATATTGTAATATTGGCCATTGGCATATTAATAAACAGAACAAGAAACTCAACTGAAATCACAGCCTACAAAAACATGTAATGAAAGTAATGTTGTGCTACTTACAGATATTAACAGAGTCTCCTGAAGCCAACCTGAAATCAAACAGATACCATTACAAACTGTACGCTGTATTCATTTTATTTTCTAAGAGGGAAATGCTGAAACTGCCTAGTATTAACTTATTGTTTGTAGAAATAACTCTGTAAAGAATAATGCATTGCAGTATACTCTCATAATAATTGCATCTATAAATTGAGGAAAACAGAATGTATATGTATAGCTGAGCAGGTATTTCACTGTTGGGTCTTTTGGCTTACATAATGTATAGCTCTTGTCCAAAAATAATAATAATAATAATAATTAAATAAGCATCAGAATAATGTTATTTTAACCTGCACTCCTCTCCTTCCAGCATCTTCCTGTAGGTGGCGATCTCGATATCCAGAGCCAGTTTCACGTTCATCAGCTCCTGGTATTCCCGCAATTGACGAGCCATGTCCTGCTTGGCTTTCTGCAGAGCATCTTCCAACTCGGACAGTTTGCTCTTGGCATCTCTGACAGCAGATTCTCCACGTTCTTCAGCCTCATTTATAGCAGATTCTAGGGCAGCACGCTGAGTAAACATGGAAAAGAAATTCTATCAAAATAATCTACGTGCAAAAAAAAACCTTTCAAATATTTTATTTACCAGTGGAGTCTCACCACTGCTAGATAGCCAATATGCACACACATTTTAACTCGTGCATTACTTGCATTCTTACACTTCCTAAAATGCCAAATACAAAAATATATACTTTATTTTATTTTATATCTTTACCTGTCCCTTCACGCTATCTATTTCTCCCCTCAGTCTCTGAATTGCTCGGTTTAGTTCGCAGATCTCATCTCTGCTGCTCTGCAGATTATTCCCATTTCTTCCTGCAGCTGTCTGAAGCTCTTGAAACTGCCAATCAAATAGTAAAAGGCAAAATTAGAATACACTTTTTTTTAATAGATAAAGCTCTGCATGATTTGAAATGGATACACTCACCCGCGATTGGTACATGGCCTCTGCCTCAGCTCTGCTCCTGTTAGCAATGTCCTCATATTGAGATCTGACCTCAGCAATGATTCCATCCAGGTCTAGATTCCGACTGTTATCCATGGACACAACCACTGAGGTGTCTGAGATCTGAGCCTGGAGCTGGGAAATTTCCTAGCAAAGAAAATTATATTTTTTCATTACTAACAATATAGGTCTCCAGCTGTCATGTCTTTGCCACTGATATTGCTGACAAGTATCATTTTCAGCATCCTGACATTAATTTTGATGTTAATCTCTATTCTTCCCCTTATTGTATACTGACAGTTGTCAAATGTGATGGTGGATGGAATGTTTGCATTTGCACACAAACATTTTATACATTCTATGAAAAACCATGAGTTTCGAATAGCTTTTCTCTATCTAGGTATCTTTTTTGCCAAGTAATACTTTTTGAGTATTATCTAGTTAATTATTGGCTTGTTAAAGTTTTGTTACAGTTTTCAGACTTCACAAACTGTTTTTTTTTCAGTTTGTTTTTTAATAATTGCAATTACTAGACTTCTTTACTTGATATTATCTATTCTCACCTCTCTTTAGGTTGTGCATTTCTCCTCCCTTTAAAAAATTTTGACCAAGCCAATTTGGACTGGTAATACTATCCAGTTGTTTTTCCACTTAATTCTCCATAGGCTAGGGTTTTGCCTAACCTGTGTGATCAAGGGTTAGATGAATTCTAACTCATGCTATCTGATACAAATCACTAAATGATATATTTCACAATGAATTCTAAAATATGATTCAATTAATTGCTTTTATTATCCTTTTTTTTTGTTTGTTTTTTTATTTGTTATAAAGCATTGTTATTAATGTATGTCTTATCTAACCATTTGCTCTCCACAACAAAACCTGTGGTTTATAATTACTTTGCAGTATTTTAGGTTCAATGCCGATATAATTAGGTACTTTCTCAATTAGGTCTATAAGTATATATACAAAATACTTAAGAAATAAAAATATGTTTAAAAAAAATCAGTCTGCAAAATACAAATGCTAATAAACTTATTTATACTTACCGCATCATACAGGGTCCTCAGGAAGTTGATCTCATCAGTCAGGGATTCAGCCTTTCCTTGTAACTCAGCTTTGTCCATAAAAGCTGTGTCTACATCCTGAAGAAGAGATGAATGTACAGTAAAAAGAAAATTGAGCTTCATAACATTTCTTAAAATTTGTTTAAATTTAAATTAAATCTTTGTTGTCGTCTCACTTACCCTCTTAAGTCCAACAAACTCATTTTCTGCAGCTGTGCGTCTGTTCACTTCGTCTTCATACCTGTGATATTTCAAATATTTTTATTGTTTTAAATAATAATAATACAAATAACAATTGTACATTTTTGTCAATGTTTCTAACAATCAATAGTATTTAAACAGAATGGTATATTAACAGTGACATAATAACAAGGATCTTTGTTATGGTTACATTATTAATACTATGAGTAACAACACAAAAATCATAAATTTCACATCCGTGGTATGATTTGAAGTAGTTAAAGTAGAAAAAGGAAGAAAAAAATAATACAGTTTTCTACTATTTAACAGAAAAATGCATGAACAGTATTTTTTGTACATCAATATAGTTTGTAATTATCCACTTTAATATTATCCATTAAAAACAGCTCTGTTACTGCAGGTTTTGCTTTTAAATTATTCTTTGTTTGTTTTGTCTCACCGTTTCTATTTGATTTTAGTTTTTTAGTTATACATAAGAAAAAGTAGGGACCATCTCTCTGCCTGTCTTTGCCTGTCTGCCTGTCTGTCTATTTATCTACTCCCTACTGCATATAGTGAATATGGATGTAGTAGAATAATGTAAGGTTTGTGAATATGTTGAATATGAAAAATACAAGAGTTTTTTTAAGATTGCCTATTAAAAAAAAAGAAAATAGAAGAAAAGTTCTAAGATTTCAGCCTATTGTATAAATATTTCCACTCCAATAATTTAATCAATATTTTGAAAATAATGTAGAATATGCTTCAGAATGTTTTTTTTTTTTTAAATTGAAACTTGCACATCACAGTAATATTCAGAAGGTGTATGGAAGATAACAAGAAAATGTTTACCTTCTCCTTAGTTCATCTACACTTTGCTCCATATTGTTCCTTTCTGCTTCCAGACGTTCTCTCTCACATGCCAGGTTCTCCAGCTGTCTCCTGAGGTTACCGATAAAAGCCTCAAACAGTGGTTCTATCTGAAAGCAGGAACTTTTCTGTTCTTGTAAGAAACCCCACTTAGTCTCCAACATCTTGTTCTGCTGTTCCAAAAATCTCACCTAAATTTAATAAGAGCAAACATTTTATGAATTTAACTATAAACCAAGATAATGTTTAACTGCAATGGAACATTAAATATCAAACATTTATAGCCTCAAAATATTCCTTTATTGACATATGGAACACCCAAATATATGATCGAATCCATCAGTTCCAAACTCAAACTAAAACAGTAATGTTTATGGCATGTGAATATTAAATTTTTGTCATATTAAAATAATATTAAAATATTTTATAATTAATCAGATAAATGTATTTCTTAATAAACCTGAACTTCCTGCCAGAAACAACCCAAAAATCTAGAAATATGTATTAGGTGTTTAAATTATGTGTATTTAAATTATTTGCGATTTGTCCAAACGTTGGGTAATTGTTCATTTGTCCAAATACCGCAAATATGAAATGCAATATGGACATACCATGAAATAAAACAGGCAATAAATTAGTCATTTTGTTTGTTTCAGAGTTCCGTCTGTGGTGCCAGAAAAAGGGGAAAGAAATGGTGAAGAAGCTGATTTTTTTTTGAGGGAGGGCAGACTTATAAGCAGATTGGCAATGATGGACAAGTGTTCTGCTCAATGATATGAGCTATATTTCCTGTCCAATCAAAAGGTGGTAAAGAACAGGATTTTTGACACTTGACACTCAGACACTTTGACTTCAGCTATTGAGGGATACAGACCAACAGTGATATTGTGTGTCTTACCATTGCTGTGCCTGGTGGGAGATAAACTGTGTCTCTGATCCTGGCGTGAGATTAGTGATGTGGTTAGGTTACTGCTATGTCTAGCCACTGCCAGTGCCACTTACACCAACTTTGATTATTTTACTGATAACTGAATTATTACAAGATTGCAAAATGTAAAACAAGCATTACAAATTAATATTTTTAATACAGATTTAATAATATAATTATGACATCTCACAACCGGCATTGCAAAAAGGGCTAGTATTGTGTAGCCATTAGTCTAGACAATAGTTTAGCCACTTTTGTATTGCAGCACACTAATAGGTGCATTTTTGCTCCATTTTTGTTTGTCCGAATCTATTTTCCAAAAACAACTGCATGGACAAAATGAATCTAAACCAAACTGCAACATGGATGCAATTTGGTTAGTCCAAACATAAATGTTAGTTGGACAAATTGACAATCCATTTTTTTTTTTTTTTGCCATGTCCAAGTCTAACATCTACCGTTCACATTAATAATGTACCTGTTGGTAGAGGACTAGTAATAACTAGTGCTGTCTAGTTGTGAACCAGATTTTATTTTTAAGCTTGATTAGATGTGATAATAACTAATCATAAAAGCTATTATTCAAGGCTACATAAGTATTCATTCTCTGGAGTCCACTTACAGTATAAAATTATCTCACCTTGTCAATGAAAGAAGCAAATTTATCATTCAGCCCTCTAATTTGATTTCTTTCTTGTGTCCTCACTCTCTGGATGCTTGGGTCAATTTCCAGATTGAGAGGAGCCAAGAGACTTTGGTTCACAGTAACTGAAGTGATTCCATGTCCAGATCCATGTCCAGATCTGTGTCCAGATCCATGCCCAGATCCTTGTCCACATTTCCCAGAATTAAAACTTCCAATTGAGATCTTATGTCCCTTGGAACCCATACTCTGGGCACTTCTGCTGCTGAAGCAATGTGAGGTCTTGTGTCCAGGAGCGGCAGATTTGGAAGAGTGTGAAAAAGATTGGTGTGAGCTTCCATGTTTAGGCAGAGCTACGGAACAGGAGCTGAAGTGTTTGTGTCCAGAGGTACCAAGGATGGCGTGATGAGACATGATGATCGTTCTCACAGAGGAGATGTAAGGTTGATGAGATCAAGTATAGTCTGAACAGGAGGTTCACATTTACTAGGCACAAACTGGCTGATTTTATACTTCATATGGGTGGAGATCGATGTTACTGGCTTATATGAGCATTGCTTATGAACCTTATTACACTTTGATTTTATAGCAATAGAATCAGTAACACACCTTCTTCATCAAAGCTCAATGCATTTACTGTTGGCTTCCCTTACCATAAAGCAATCACTTAAAATACCTGAGTTTAAACTAATGAATAAATGCTTTTATTCGCAAAACACATTCCACGTAATAGGCAACATATAAATGTATTAACATCTTCTAACAATTTTTAATCCATTTATGTATGGAAATTATTAACCTCAATATAAACTGATTTCTTTGCTGATGTTCTAAACTTTCTAATTTTGAAATCTTTTTCAAATATTTTCTAAACCTATGAAGTTTATCATGTTTTGCATTATAGATAAATATAAATTTTAAATAAATTATTATATAGCTGAAGCCATAGGTCACATATAGTGGTCTTTGAACTATTTTGGTTGAATAATATTTGCCAATGCCATACTATATATTTTTTTTTCATCCTGATATTGTCATTACTTGTCTTTCTACACTTTTAAATATAACAGACTGATCACAAAAAATCTATACTTAGAGGAAGAGCTGAAAAAAATTACAAGATAAACAACTGTGCTTTTGGAGATCGTCATGGGACTCTGTAATCTTGGCCACTGTGTAAGGTTACCGGAGGCACTGTAAGAAGGTGCTTCTTTATTCGGATACCCTGGATGATTATCAGAACATACAACAAACTGCATCAAACACCTAACTCTGTATGTAGGTGAGTGCAGATGAGGTTTCTTAGTGTCTTATGCATTCAAAATGCGGTATAAAAATGACTCATTTGAAAATATATAAATTATTGTGGGAAAATTGTCTCAATTTTTTTCTGAAAATTCTGAAATTAAAATGGAAAAATTGGTCTTTAATTTGCAAATGCTGCAGTGATAAAATGTTAATCTCATACTAAACTATCTCACTCTACATATAGTAACTAACACAATAATACTGATAAGGATTAAGATCCCACAGAACACTAGGCAGGTTACCAGTGTGGAGGCCCTGCCCTTTTCATTTTTCACATAACAATGGTTAATAACACCAAGCAAATTTATGGTTCCAGGGCCAAGGGTTTAAACTCTTGATTCTAGGCAACTGCCTAAGGTTACCTTATGATTATTCCTACTTTGCATTCATGTCCTCTACATGATTTGCTGCACCTGTTTACCACTAATGTCTGTTCTTGACTTTATTTATTTATTTGTTCAACATATACAAAATAGAGTGCCACTTGTTTCAATTTCCTCTCAGTGACTCTATACCAGGGTGGATCATTCCAAGCAAATTGATAATAATTTAGAAAATTAAGACTTTTGGCTCCCACGTGAGACTTTCTTAACCTTGAGACACGCTCCAGTAGGCGATAGAACATTGTGTGGATTTCCAATAAAATCTGCCCATCACCATCTGTATATGTGTGGTCCAATATTTTGCAATTATTATTTATTTGTAAGTGTAACCTGCCTAAACATTAGTTGTTTAAGATAGAAAAGCTGTAAAATATCATGGTACCATATAGCTTATACAGTATGTGCTTTAATGTATTATTCTTTTTTACATAGTAGTTGTCTTGTGGCATAAACATTTAGCGTTAAAGCTACAACTGGATCAACAAGTTGACATCTTCATTGCTGGATGTAGATGGTCTGTCAAGAGGACCACAGCTGAGTCTTTTATATTATCTTGAAAGGGTTGGAGTTGGTTCATGAATCACCAAATCACCAAAAAGTAGTTTTAATCCACTAACATGTGGGCCCAACATTTCTGCCCTCTAAGATGATCCTTGTCAAGGCATGACAGAGACCCCAAGAAGATTGAAACATTTCCCCATACATATGTTAGATCTTGCCAGCAGATTAATTGATTAATTGATTTGTATATTTTGCCTAATCTATCAATGGTCAAGTGATTTTTATGCAAGGCAATTAGATTTCTCACTTGCTGTACTCCCAGCTTCCAAGCTAATAATTTTAAACTGTTCTTTTTTATTGTAAATCATTTGTTTAAATCTAGTAAACATTTCAGTTTTACGAGACATTAGTAAGCATTTGGCACTGTAAGCATCTGTAATCTTTGCATGCTATATAGCTATACTAAAAACATTGGAATGCAATCTAGAAATATGATAATATCACCATAGAATTATTTGTCAATCACCATGTCAACATTTACTGATTTTGTCAATTCCTAGCTCTGTATTATTACTAAAAAGAATGAATCTAAGGTAAGGTCAGAGTAAAAGGGGTACATATGAATTGGATCACACCTGACCTCATTCAAATGTACCAGTTTTGTGATTCATTGTGGTCAAAGTTCAAGCGTACTGGCTCTATGATAGATCACTGTGCATATAGAAAATGGCGAAATATATGCACAAAACAAACAAAATTAGCCAAGGCCCAATATTTCAGTGAAAATCTAAACATTTCAAACTCTAGCAACTTTTGAAAAATATAATCATAAATAACTTACAAACTCCCCTAATCCACTCCCAACCCTCCAGTGTCAAAGTGGAAAACCAAACCCTGCAACTTCCCTTAGATATAGCAAATGATTTTAACAATTATTTTGTCAGATGCACCACCACCCTGATTGCCAAGCTAATACATGACACAAGTGCTGAAACTACAAATATGGATCAAGCCCCACTAAGTTTGCAAAGATCCAATATAGAGAAGTTACATTTTAGACCTGTACCTATTAGTGTAATTAAGAAACACCTTAATAATCTAAAAATCAGTCTGGACCTGATCAAATCCCAGCAATGCTGTTGAAGCTCAATGCACCGGCAATTGCTAAACTTGTCACATTGTCACAAGCCTAATTAATGAATCCTTGGTGTCTGGGTAGATACCCAAACTTTGGAAGACTGCAAGAGTAGTACCTATCCATACTTGAGTTTCTAACTATCGCCCAATGTCATTGCTCCCAGTATTGTCAAAAATTTAGGAAAAATGCGTCCATACGCAACAATGTGAGTATTACCATCAAACTAACTGACCCCTGATCAATCAGGCTTTCGCCCAAATCACTCAACAACAACAACTGCCCTTTTAAAAGTTGATTTTGCAAAGGCCTTTGACACAGCAGACTACAACATTCTACTGCACAAACTGAAAAACTCAGGTATTGGTGAATGTCCACTAACCTGGTTTCGATCATATGTATCGGATCGATCACAATATGTGTCCATTTTTGACAGTGACTCCCTCTCCCCGTCACGTGTGGTGTTCTCCAAGGTTCCATTCTCAACTCCCTACTTTTCACATTATTTATAAAGGATCTACCTAATGTCTGCAAATCCTCAAATGTACACATGTACGCAGACAATACAGTAATCTATGAACGCAAATCCGATCTACCGCAGCTTGAGGCTGTGCCCACTGGCGTTCATAACACAGTTGCAGGGGGCCCGGCCGCCCTGTGACCCAGGTATGTACGCCAGTGCGGCCATGGCTGCATTTTGCCAGCCTCTTCTCCTGGTGGGCCTAGTAGCTGGCCACCTCAGGGCCCCCCGAGGCTGGAAGTGGTGTCACTTTGCGGGCGGGCGTGCAAGGGTGTATTCCCCCCTGAGCTCTCTCTGCCCAGCTCCCTCACACGCACCGCAGTGATGCCTGAGCCGGAATATGACATCACTCCGGCATCAGTGAGCAGCGCACGAGGGAGCTTAAGAGGAGGATCAATGCTCTCTGGTCACTTGCAGTGACTGGCCGCCCAGCAGCTCCACTGGATCCCAGGGAAAGCTGGAATCCCCTCAGCACTCCCAAAGGTAGGGAGGCTGGGGGATTAAACAAATAAAAATATGTGTGTGTATGTGTGTTAGTGTTAGTGTGTGTGTGTCAGTGAGTGTGTTATTGTGTGTGTGTGTGTGTCTGTTACTGAGTGTGTTAGTTTGTGTTTGTCTGTTAGTGTGTGTCTGCTATTGAGTGTGTGTCTGCTAGTGAGTGTCAGTGAGTGTGTTAGGTTTTGTGTCTCAGTGAGTGTGTGTGTGTTACTGTGTGTGTGTCTTTTACTGAGTGTGTTAGTTGTGTGTTAGTTTGTGTGTGTCTGTTATTGAGTGTGTGTCTGCTAGTGAGTGTGTTAGTTTTGTGTGTCAGTAAGTGTGTGTTTGTCTGTGTGTGTCTGTGTGTGTCAGTGAGTGTGTTACTGTGTGTGTCTGTTACAGAGTGTGTTAGTTTGTGTGTGTGTTAGTGTGTGTCTGTTATTGAGTGTGTGTCTGTTAGTGAGTCTGTTTGGCGTCTGTTAGTTAGTGTGTATTTGTCAGTGAGAGTGTATGTTTTGTAAGTGAGTGTGTATTTGTGTCTGTCTGTCAGTGAATGTGTATGTATGTCTGTCACTGAGTGTGTGTCTTTCAGTAGATGTGTGTATCTGTTAGCTGGTGTGTATGTGTCTGTTTGTGTGTGTGAATGCTTGTCTGTTAGTGAGTGTGTGTTTGTTAGTGAGAGTGTATATTTGTTTGTCAGTGAGTGTGTATGTGGGTCTGTCACTATGAGTGTGTGTGTGTCTGTATGTGTGTGTGTGTGTGCATGTATGTGTATCTCTGTGTGTGTCTGCATGTGTGTGTGTGCCTGTATGTGGGTCTGTATGTGTATCTCTTGGTCTGCATGGATATCTGTTTGTCTGTATGTGTAACTGAATGTTTGTCATTAACTTGTTTTCCTGGCACTATATAGTCCTTCGGTCCCCCCCACTCTTGTGGCCTCCCTCCCGCTGGGCTGAAGGGGTTAAAACCCCTTCAGCACTTACCTTTCTCCAGCGCCAGGCTCCCTTGGCGCTGGGGATCTCTCCGCCCCGACCTGCCTCTCAGCTCCGAATGTGCGTCAAGAGCCACGCGCGCATTCAAACTGCCCATAGGAAAGCATTACTAAATGCTTTCCTATGGACGTCCAGTGTCTTCTCACTGTGATTTTCACAGTTAAAATCGCAGAAGCGCCTCTAGCGGTTGTCAGTGAGACAGCTACTAGAGGCTGGATTAACCCTCAGTGAAACATAGCAGTTGTTTTCAGCTGCATGGTTAAAACTAGAGAGACCTGGCACCCAGACCACTTCATTGAGCTGAAGTGGTCTGGGTGCCTATAGTGTCCTCTAAGTGTATGGGTATCTGCATGCAATGGTGTACATACCGCGGTCACAGGGGTCGCAGCATGCAACCAGGTGCCCGCCATCATGTGTAAGCGCTGGGGGGGGGCACGTAGTGTAAGCGCCGGGGGGGCCACGGATCAGTTTTCGCACTGGGGCCCCATGGATCGTGTGTATGCCACTGACTGTGCCCCAAGACCAGTTCATAGAGGTAGAAAAGAAGATCACAAAAAACAAACTCTTCCTAAACACTGACAAAACTGTCACAATGATCTTTGGAACAGTACCTAAATTACACAAATTACAAAATTCCCACCTATTCCATCAAAACAAATTCAAATGGCACACTGTACGCAGTCCACTATTTCAAATACTTGGGTATGTTGTTAGACCCTAATCTATCTTTTGGCCTCCACATAGTAAAACGCGCATCTAAACTTTATCCAAAACTAGGTGCCCTGTACAGAAACAAATCCTGCTTAAGCCCTGCAGTAAAGGAAAAAAAAATGTACAGCAAATGCTGATGCAAATCATTGATTATGCAGATGTAGTATATGCCCCTGCACTGCAAACTCACCTTAATAGGCTTAATACATTGTATAACTCGTTCTGCCGATTTGTGCTACAATGTAATTACAGGACCCACCATTGTGACATGGTAAAAAAACTAAACTGGCTGTTGCTGGAATCCAGATGCACCCTTTATCTTTCCAGCCTTGTGTTTAAGAGCTTTTCTGGGGAGCTCCCACCCAACCTGTGCAGACAATTCTAGCTATAGTAATGAGAAGCTCTTACACATCTTACATTAACTTATTACTATTTCTAGTGGGAATGTATAAATGCAGAGCATGATTGAGTGGGAACTGGGTAGGAGTATGACTGCATGCCTTCCTTTGCTTCACCTGTAATGTGCCAGCATTTTGAGGTTCTACTATGTGTCTGATGCAGAGGGGATATACAATATCATCAATATTCAGTACAGGGTGAGAGACATATGGTAGGAGGGAAATACAGAAGGCATATGAAGAATGACTAGTTTAGGTTGGTCTGTGGCAGAAGCTGGGACAATGTGCCACCCCCAGTTTTTGCTGCAGTGAAAAAAATAGATATATTTTGTGGTAAGGACTAATGAGAGAAGTGTGTTAAAAAGAAACATTTTAGTGAGAGGCATGAGCCATTGTACAGAGCACTGGTGAGACCTCACTTGAAGTGTTATACTGGAGACCATATCTCAGTGAAGGGCTACTAAACTGGCTAATGGATTGCAGAATAAACTTACAAGGAAAGGTTAAAGCATCTTAATGTATAGCTTGGATGAAAGACCAGACAGGGGGGATATGATAGAAACGTTTAAATACATAAAGGGAATCAACACAGTAAAGGAGGAGACTATATTTATAAGAAGAAAAAACACACAGCAAGAGGACAAAGTTTTACATTAGAGGGGCAAAGATTTAAAAATAAATTTAGGAAGTGTTACTTTACTGAGAGAGTAATGAATGCATGGAATAGCCTTCCAGCTGAAGTGGTAGAGGTTAACACAGTGAAAGAGTTTAAGCATGCATGGGATAGGCATAAGGCTATCCTAGATATAAGATAAGGCCAGGGACTAACAAAAGTATTTAGAAAATCAGGCAGACTAGATGGGCTGAAGGGTTCTATGCTGTCACATTCTATGTTTCTATTTTGTATCTGTAATGAACAGTTTTGCAGTATCCTTCCCATCACATTGTTGATGACTGCAAATGATGCAGAGAGCCTCAGAAAATAATCATGAAACGAATTTGGGCTTTTTGAAAAGCAAGTCTCCTCTGATATGCTTTCTGATGTAACCCATAGAATTTAACCCCTTAAGGACGAGTGACGGACGAGGTCCGTCACTCAGGGGAAACGTTAATGACAAGTGACGGACCTTGTCCATCACGCGTTAACATTAACCCCGATCGCTGCGGTGGGTTAACGCTGTTGCTGGGTGCCTCCGAGTCAGGGGCAGACCAGCAACAGCAAATCCCGATATCCCAGCCCATGTGATCGCTGTGACAACCAGTCACAGCGGTCACAATGCTGCTGGGACATCTGATCCGCCTCCCTCCACCTCTTGTGGGTTTGTGAAGTGGAGAGAGACGGATCGTTGCAACATTGTGTCCCAGAAGAATAGTTACCGTATTTTTCGCTCCATAAGACACACCTCACCATAAGACGCACCTAGTTTTTAGAGGAGGAAACCCAGAAAAAAAAATATTCTGAACAAACTGTTCCATAGTGTTTCTTACCATGGGACAGTTTGTTCAGAATATTTTTTTTTCTCCCCTGTCCCATAATGATCTTTAACCCCCCTTTCCTCTGTCCCATAGTGATTGTTAACCCCTCCTACCCTGTCTCCCCTCCTACCCTGTCCCATAGTGATTGTTAACCCCTCCTACCCTGTCCCATAGTGTTCTTTAACCCCTCCTCCCCTTGTCCATTAGTGTTCTGATCCCATAGTGTCCCCCCCTCCCATTGTCCCATAGTGCACTTTCCCTCCCATAGTGTCCCCCCCTGCCCTTGTCCCATAGTGTCTCCCACTCCCCTTGTCCCATAGTGTCCTCCCTCCCCTTGTCCCATAGTGTCTCCCCTCCCTTTCTCCCATAGTGTCCCCCTCCCCTTGTCCCATAGTGTCTCCTCCCCTCCCCTTGTCCATAGTGTCTCCTCCCCTCCCCTTGTCCCATAGTGTCCCCCTCCCCTTGTCCCATAGTGTCCCCCTCCCCTTGTCCCATAGTGTCTCCCCCTCCCCTTGTCCCATAATTACTTACCTGTCTTGGAGCGTGGGCCGGCTTCACAGCGCGCTCCGCGGTCCAGGAACTTCTATTTCAGGTTCCGGTTTCCGGCGGGACTGAAAGGAAGTGTGCACACTGAGTGTGCACTTCCTTTCAGTCCCGCCGGAAACCGGAACCTGAAATTGAAGTTCCTGTACCGCGGAGCGCGCTGTGCTGCCGGCCCACGCTACAATACAGGTAAGTAAAGCTTCACATTCGCTCCATAAAACGCACAGACATTTCCCCTCACTTTTGAGGGGAAACAAAGTGCGTCTTATGGAGCGAAAAATACGGTATATTAAAAGTTGCTTACCCTTTCCCCCTTTCTTAAAAAAATAAATAAATAACCCTTTCCCTGCTGCTTGATCACTGCTAACAGTGATCAATATACAGGTCACAGTACTTTACTGTGATTTTTTTTACTTTCAAGGGTTACATTTTATGTTTTTTGTAACCCTAAGGGGTTAAATTTTATTATTTGATTTTATTAGTTTATGATTTAGTTACTTGGTTGGGTGGAATTTAGGAATAAAAAAAAATGTTTAGTTATTTAGCTAAAGTTTTGTTAGCTGTGTTAACTGTATTTAACAATGTTCAGGAAGTATAGTGCAGAGGAGGCTTATGCCCTGTTAGCGGCCGACTCAGAAGTGACAGACACTGCCTCAGAGAGTGACGCAGGGAGTGATGCAGGGGATGCAGGGGACAGGGACTATGTGCCAGATACTGCAGGACCATCAGGGGAAATCGACGATTCCCCTAATGCTGAACATGGCGCAGATGACTGGGTACCCCCTAATAATTTTTCCCCAGATATCCTGTGTTTACAGCCAATCCTGGCACACAGGCTGACCTGTCTGGCTATAGTGCGCTGGATGTTGTGGGAGATGAGATTTTTGGGGAGATAGTAATCTCTATGCGGAGCAGTATCTGGCACGCAATCCAGACTCTCTTATCTCCAGGAAAGAGAGATGGAACCCAACCAGTGTGCCAGAATTGAAACAATTCTGGGCACTGCCATGTTAATGGGGCTAATTAAAAATCCCACAATTAGGATGTATTGGTCTAAACATCCTATTTGCAATACCCCCATTTTTGCCGAGACAATGCAGAGGGAAAGATATGAAGACATACTGCGATTTATGCACTTTAGTGACAATAACAAGTGCCCCCCAAAAGGTGATCTGCAGTATGATCTTCTTTATAAAATATTCCCTTTAATTGCCCACTTTAACAGTAAATTTGCCACTATATATACCCCCAATAAAAACATTTCCATTGACGAGTCCCTCATGAAGTTTAAGGGAAGACTGGGATTTAGACAATATATCCCATCCAAAAGATCCCAATATGGGATCAAATTTTATAAACTGTGTGAAAGTGGCAGTGGCTATGGGATAGCTACCTTGAGCCCCCAGGTTGCCCAGATATAGTAGGAACAAGTGGGAAAATTGTCTGGGACTTAGTAATGCCACTACTTAATAAAGGTTATCATGTATACATCGATAACTTTTATAATAGCATCCCACTGTTAAAAATGTTGTACTGCTTCGAGACTGTGGCTTGTGGCGCTATTCGGAAGAGTCGCACAGTTTTCCCAAAGGCTCCAGCGAACAAAAAAATGAAAAGGGGGGAAACAGCAGCTCTCTGCCAGAGTGAACTGCTGGCACTCAAGTACAGGGATAAAAAGGATGCCACCATCCATGGTGAAAACACTCGGAGGGTCGCAGTTCATGGCAGAGAGGAATGTAAACAAGTACCAGTCTGCATACGGCAATATAATCGGCATATGGGGGGCGTTGACGTGTCCGATCAACTGATGCAGTCGTATTTGATCATGCGTAAGACCAGGCCATGGTATAAAAAAGTGGGCATATATCTGATGCAGATGGCAATCCACAATGCCTTTGCCATTTTTAAAAAGGCAAATGCTGTGCTGAAAAGCACTTTTCTTTCATTCTAGTTTGAGCTCATTTCTGGGCTACTTGAGTGCCACACAAGGAGACCATCAGTGGAGCCTAGCAGAAGAATGGAGGCAGGTCACTTTTGCTTTAAGATTCCACCAACCCCTAAAAAACAAAACCCCCAGAAAAGGTGCAGGGTGTGTTACAAGAGGGGCGTAATTGCTGAGACCAGCTATTACTGCCTTGATTGCCCCTCTTAGCCCAGCCTATGTATTGGTCACTGTTTTAAAAATTTTCACACCCAGGCCGAATAAGTAGACCAGTTTTGGGGTGTGATTTTTAGTCAACTGTCTGATTGGTTACCGAATCTTGGCTTTGTCTCACGCTTATCCTGTCTTCTCTGATCCTTGACCTCGGCTTGTCCTATCGTTGTTCCGTTTCTCTTTACTCCTTTGACCTCGGCTTGTACCTTGACAATTCTCTGCTTGTATAGCCCGGCCATTCTAAGGACCGGTATTACAAGTTTCTCTCTTTGTGTTCTCTCTCTTTGTGGTCTGTCTGTGTTTTGGTTTCGGAATCCATGACAGCTTTGCCCGGGATGCAGATGACTGGGTACTACCCCCGGATAAGTTTACCCCAACTATTCCACCTTTTCACAGCAAATAGTATGCACTTGTTCATAATTTGAATTGATGAGCTGCTTATACTTAAAAATATATGTGGCCTTTGAGAGGTAATTTGCAGTCCTGAGCTGCTACAATGAGACTTGGGCCCACTTTTGAAAATTATGGAAATGGTGTGTCTCCAATGTGCCCCTTCAACATCCACATAACCCTGAGAAAGGTACACATGGGGTTATCGTTGCACTAAGATGACATAGCTGAGCAACATATTAGGTGTTATACTGCCGTAGCACAAATAAGTATAGCAAAATATACAGTAACATCTCCAAGTGTGTGTCAAAAAGGCAGAAAAAATGCTAATTGCAACTAGACTTGGTACAAACTAACAAAAAAATGATCCTACACTAAGGTTTAGAATATACCTTTTGAAATACCATGGGGTGTCTACTTTGAGAAATGTAAGGCCTTTGTGGGGTAGTTTGAATTTAAAACCTGCTAAGATGCTTGGAAATTGCACATAGGCCCAGCGTCAAAATTCAAAGTTCGGTAAAAACTGATATGGCTTGGTCTCCTATATGGCACTGTAACTTCACGAAATAGTGCCAAAGACATACAATGGGGGTATCATTTTACTTAGAAGACTTAGCTGAATTTAATCTCTGGGATTTGAACTTAGTGGCACATGTGAAATATACAAAATGCCCAGCAAAAATGCAATCCATATGTAAAAAACGCACAAAATTATCTTTTACCACATACTTTGGCATCTATTGGTAAAAAAATGGGGGCATGTTAAGGCACAATATGGACCTTATGAGATACCCTGGAGTGTCTACTTTTACAAATGGTAGGCCTTTGTGGGGTTTTTTTGAACAGTCAAACTGTTATAATACCCCAAATGGAAGCATAGGCTCATTAAATCTGTGTCTCAAAATTCTACTGTGAGTACTGAAAAGGACAGGTCTCCTATATGGCACTTTAGCTTCACGAAATAGTGCCAAAGACATACAATACAGTGTCATTTTACTCAGAAGACTTAGCTGAACATAATTTGGGGGGTTTGAACCTAGGGGCACATGTGAAATATACAAAATGCCCAGCAAAAATGCAATCCATATGTAAAAAATGCACAAAATTATTTTTTACCACATACTTTGGCATCTATTGGTGAAAAAATGGGGGCATGTTAAGGCACACATACAGTGTAAGGTGGAGTTTCTTCTGGTTACAGATAAATTCAGGTAAATTCTAAAAGTAGAACAGATAATAACACTTGATAGTGCAATATTGTCTGAATAGTGAATATAGTGAGGATAAAATATATAGTAACACACTCACAAAATTAGAGCCTGTAATACAAGGCTCAATTTTCCAGCGCTGTGGGATTAAGGATCACCACTTCCTTCTTTTTAGCTTGCCAGGGGATGGAAAAAATCCAATGTCCTCTCACATATCGGTATAAAATGGTAAAAAGTGCTTTAATAGTAAAGTGCACAAATAGAAATAAAAAACAAGACCTTACAGTTGAAGGTAATCTTGTTAGAGTAGTCTCTAGCTGCAATACGCGTTTCGCCTCGTCTGGAGGCTTCCTCAGTTGCTCTGGTTGATTGTAGTTCATAATCTGTATTTATATCCAGTCTTTTGCGCCCTTTTTTTGCTCTCCTCTCCCTGTTCGCGGCATTTTCACTTCCGCGTTCCACCGGTGGAACGCATCAATCGAGTCACTTCCGGTTTCGGCTTTTGCGTTCCACAAGTGGAACGCATGCAATATTCCTCCGGTTTTCATGTGTTGAGGTGTAAATAAATTGTGAAAAACAGTCCATATGGGTATAGGGAGGTATAGGGAGCATGAAACTCATAGTTCATTAATGAAAGAGGTATAAGTATATAATAAGCATTCCCAACAATCAGATAGAGGGCATAGACATTCCAAACATGCAAATCTGACAAGTAACTGTCTGGGGAGAAAAAAGGACCCTGATGTAAATCAGCATAAAAAAAGGAAAATATGCTGAAAATAGGCAAGTGCTAGATAAAATGTAAATATAATAATAGGTATGACAATAAAAGGAATAAAAAAAAAAAAAAGGGGGACCAACCTATTAAGACCACATAAAAAAGCTAAATGGTTTATGTATTAGTACCTTAAAACAATATGGTTTATGTAATAGTACCTTTAGACAATATATAAAATTCTTAATTAAAAATGGCAAACTTCAAAGTCTAAATTTAACCCATAGGGGATAAGGGTTTTAAAAGTGTATATATATTTCATTTCTTCTTTACCTAATAGTTTAATATAATTACCCCCTCTCCAATCTCTCTTTACTTCTTTAATAGCACAGAAAAATAAATTCTCTGGGTTTTGGTTGTGGACATCTTTAAAATGTTGGGATACGCTGTGAGTCTCCAAGCCATTCCTAATGTTCCGTATGTGTTCAGCGATCCTAACCTTTAAAGGTCTAATAGTTCTCCCAACATAGAGTAACTTACAGGGACATTGTAGAATATATACAATGCCTTTAGAATGACACGTAAGGTGGTCTTTAATGATGAATGGTTTCTGGATGAGATCTTCTAAGTTTTCAAAGTGCCTTTTTGTTTGTTTGGTAATTCTGCATGGAAGACATGTGCCACAACCGTAAAATCCTTTAAGATCTTGAAGAAAGTGCTTAGGTTTTGTGGGGTTTAAATGACTTTTGACTAAAATATTTTTTAAATTCTTAGCTCCTCTATACGTGATTCTGGGTTTTGTTGGTAAGATTTTAAATAGGATTGGGTCATCTTTTAATAAATGCCAATGCTTATTTATAATTTTATGAACACGTCTATTTTGTCCATTAAAATCACAAATAAAGGGGACTTCATTGGTGTCCATCTGTATTGTCTTTGGTTTATATTGTATGAGTTGTTTTCTCTTTAATCTCCCAACTTCTTTTAAATCTTGGTTCAAAGATATTTCATTGTACCCCTTTTCCAAAAACTGCCGTTTAATATAAGTGGCCTGTTCTAAATGCCATTTTTATTAAGAATTTTATATATTGTCTAAAGGTACTATTACATAAACCATATTGTTTTAAGGTACTAATACATAAACCATTTAGCTTTTTTATGTGGTCTTAATAGGTTTCTCCCCCTTTTTTTTTTTTTTTATTCCTTTTATTGTCATACCTATTATTATATTTACATTTTATCTAGCACTTGCCTATTTTCAGCATATTTTCCTTTTTTTATGCTGATTTACATCAGGGTCCTTTTTTCTCCCCAGACAGTTACTTGTCAGATTTGCATGTTTGGAATGTCTATGCCCTCTATCTGATTGTTGGGAATGCTTATTATATACTTATACCTCTTTCATTAATGAACTATGAGTTTCATGCTCCCTATACCTCCCTATACCCATATGGACTGTTTTTCACAATTTATTTACACCTCAACACATGAAAACCGGAGGAATATTGCATGCGTTCCACTTGTGGAACGCAAAAGCCGAAACCGGAAGTGACTCGATTGATGCGTTCCACCGGTGGAACGCGGAAGTGAAAATGCCGCGAACAGGGAGAGGAGAGCAAAAAAAGGGCGCAAAAGACTGGATATAAATACAGATTATGAACTACAATCAACCAGAGCAACTGAGGAAGCCTCCAGACGAGGCGAAACGCGTATTGCAGCTAGAGACTACTCTAACAAGATTACCTTCAACTGTAAGGTCTTGTTTTTTATTTCTATTTGTGCACTTTACTATTAAAGCACTTTTTACCATTTTATACCGATATGTGAGAGGACATTGGATTTTTTCCATCCCCTGGCAAGCTAAAAAGAAGGAAGTGGTGATCCTTAATCCCACAGCGCTGGAAAATTGAGCCTTGTATTACAGGCTCTAATTTTGTGAGTGTGTTACTATATATTTTATCCTCACTATATTCTCTATTCAGGCAATATTGCACTATCAAGTGTTATTATCTGTTCTACTTTTAGAATTTACCTGAATTTATCTGTAACCAGAAGAAACTCCACCTTACACTGTATGTATATCTAAATTTTATGTGAGGGTGAAGGGTAATCACTAAGGTGTTTTGAGTATCTTTTTGGATTACTCTTTTATGTACGTGTCCCACTGGAAAATACTGTATTTACTGTATTACATGTTAAGGCACAATTTGCACCTTATGAGATACCCTGAAGTGTCTACTCTTACAAATGGTAGGCCTTTGTGGGTTTTTTCTGAACAGTCAAACTGTTATAATACCCCAAATGGAAGCATAGGCTCATTAAATCTGTCTCTCAAAATTCTACTGTGATTACTGAAAAGGACAGGTCTCCTATATGGCACTATAGCTTCACGAAATAGTGCCAAAGACATACAATGGGGGTGTCAATTTACTCAGCAGATATAACTGAACACAAAATAAAACTTTGTACAGGAATAGCACACACCAACTTTACAAAATACACACAAGAAGTTCTTTGTTATAGGTTTGTGTGCCAAAAACAAAATAAAACACAATTTTACTCCAATAGTTAGCAGAGGTTGGCGGTGAAATGGCTATGTAGAAAGTGTCAAAACAACCTTAGGTAAATAGCCTGTGATGTCTACTTTCTATAAATATATACTTTTGTGCGGCAATTTTGTTTTCTTTTATGGCTATTAAGCTTACAAGACAAACATACCAAATTCTAAAATTGCTCCACATTAAAAGTTTATTTTACTCCTTGTGCTTTGTGACCTGTAACTATAAAAAAAACCTTAAAATCCCAGACACATTATATATTCTGTAAATCAGAACAACTAAATTAATTTATTTTTAATTACTTTCCTTAACCTGCACTAATTATACACACGTTGTTATTGCAAAAACTAAAAAAAACACAAAAATGTTCTCTTTTTTTGCATATTTCTGTATTTTTTTATAATAAATAAGCATTTTTATATATATATATATATATATGTATATATATATATATATATATATATATGTGTGTGTGTGTGTGTTACATCAAATTAAAGCCCTTTCTGTCCTTTAAAAAACTATATATAATGTGTTGGTGCAATAAATTAGTAAAATGCAAATTGCAGTTGAACGCAAACAGCAAAAAATGAAAAAAATGCTGTTGTCATTAAGTGAAAGACAAGCTTCTGAAGCTCTGTCCTTAAGGAGTTAAAAGAAAAGCCTGCATATTGCCCTGTCTACAAAAGTCTATCACTTTGTAACAGCATTAGAGGGTTGAGTTCGTGAAGTGAAGTTGGCAGAGTCAAATTCAATGGGTAGATTCTAGCACCTTACCATTTTAGAACTTTACCAACCATTACTTAAAATGGCACACGTGGATGGGACAGATGCAAACGTATTGGAGAAGATAAAAAGAGATACACAAGATGTAGGCAGAGATTGAGATAGATGCAAGGGTTGGGAGATGGCAAGGGAAGCAGTAGTGGGGACTAGAGAGAGTAACAGGAATAACAAGAATAGGTAAATGAGGAAAAATAAAGAAAATGTATGAATACACATCCCTGCATTTACATAGATTCAATCCTCGGTTCACATACGCTGACACCTCACTTAAATCCTGTTTTCACATGCACTGAAACTCCACACTGGCACCACACTACAGTCAAACACAAAGAGAATGCACCCAAATATACTCATGTATTCAGTCACACCAACATAAAGAAACAAATGTATTTGCAGGAAAATGCAGGGAGCAAATAAGCACATGCTATGCACGGAGGAAGAAAAAAAATGATACACAAAGTAGTGCTGTGTGCACTCGTTACTATATATTTTTTTTTTTACTGATTCTTGACCAGTTAGGAAGCTGGTCTTTCCTTAGGTTGCACCCTTACTAAGTATTCTCATTTATCTTTAAGTCTAGTTTTGTGAGTTGTACATATCATTTATTAATGTGCAAATGCTAAACATATTCCACAGCTGTCTAAGAGACCAGAAGCTCTAGTTACTTGAAGTCACGTTTACTAAGGTGGCTGTGGTGACAACATGACATACTATCAAATCAGCATTCATCTTCTTGGATAAACACCTAGCTAGTCTAGATAGGAATTCCAGTGGTATTTGGCTCAATGCTTGTAAAACATTATATTCTTTAACACTGTATTTTTTGCATCATTTTTTTTACTCTCATTAATTACTTATATATTGCAACAAATCAATCAGTCTTGGCCAGTATTCATCCAATGAAAGTCTAAATGTTGCTTAGTCACCCTCTAAGCCCAAACCTATAGTAATTGAGTATAGAGGAGTATAGAGGATTAACTATCTTCTCAACTCTAATCTCTTAATATCATAACCTTCTGTGCTAAACCTATTCCTTTGCTCCTACACACAAGTTGCTGTGCAATTCTAACACCTAATTCTACCCATCTACTTTCTTATCTTTGGTACATTACATGGTTTATATAAACAAGCATTCATCATTTCTATACCAAAGTAACCTTCTCTTGATCTTACATTTTCATTAAAAATAATCACAGCCTCATGTGTCTTGGCTGTAACTACTGAAAAGTCAAGTCTGCACGCTTTTTATCTAACTTTCTACTTGATGCCTTAAAATGTGTCTCTTGATCTACTTATTCCAAAACAGTGATTAACACATGATTTTATCACACCTATACCTAAAAAGTACTTATCCATGCCCATACTTCTGTAAATTTCTGCATTTGATTTAATTGAATATTCCCATATTCTGAAAATGTTTTGCTCATTTGTAATCAGATGTCCTGGTTCACATCATAGCTCAATCTTATTTTGAGAATTATCTGTTGATGAGCCTCAATTTTGTGTACTTGGTCACTTCCTATCCATAATCTACACATTTTCTCTCAATAAACATAGATTCCTTTGGATTTCAGTACCATTTATAGGCTGATGACATGGTAGTCTACCTATGACTTCCAAACCTGTCTCATACTAGTAACTGCCTATCTGACATTTTGCTTGGATCTATATAATGGAACCATTTTCAATCACTCTTGAATACGACACATGAAATCTCCTTTATATTTTGATATTGTTCTCAATATTACTTACTATGCAATCCCATTGACTCATTTTTTCCCTTAATTACACAGATCCAAATCCTACCACCCAACTACTTGATTAGACATAGAATCTTCATGTATGGAGCATCTCCAAGATCTTCTTTGTGATGAGGCAGTCAACATGCTTATCCACCCAGTAGTAACATCTCACAAGGGTTATATCAATTCACTCTAATAGCCCTGTCTCTCTACCACTTACCCACCTCTCTAATATATAATATATATGGGTTACTTTTAAGGTCATGTGTCTCTCTATCTATAATCTGCTTCTGCACACTTTAGTTCTAGATTAAAGTTCTTACGAATGAAGACTACATAGGTTTAACTAGCATTATCCGCTTTTCTCCAAATACTTCCTTAACAATTCAGGATATATGTATTTTTCACATTCTTATTATTTATACTAACTCATAGCTTCTCTTAAGATATTTCTTACCACACTGGCTCAAGCTTCCACTCACATTCCATTGATAAAAAATATTTCAAATCTTCCTATTCAAAGAAGCTTTCTACATACCTGCTGTAAACTGCTGTATATTTTTATTTCTGAAAGCTGAAAATCCCCTAATCTGACTTCTACTTCTAATCTAATCTTTCCCTCTTGTCCCGTGTCTCTTGTTCCCTACCCCCCCCCCTCCACTCCAGGTGACCATTTGGAGGTGACCACAGGAAAGGATATGTTTGAGGAGAGTCTCTGGAAGCTGTTTAAGCATTACCTATTACACTTAGCATGTTTATGTCCCATGTTAAAATTTGTGTATTACCCACCGATATTGGATACTATGACATATTGGTGGGCTTAGTACTATATGGACATATTGTGTAACTGAATCTATATATTTGTTAGTTAAAATATGTGATTTTAAGTAACCTCTGAAAAGATGCTGTTTCTTAATCTGTATTTTGTATTTATTCTGGTCCCTAAAATAGCACCATTGCAGAGAAATGCATGTTCCAGGTGTGCTCTCTATTTGCTTTTTCTACCTTCTTTTTGATCACAAATTTGGGAAAGCACTGCATTTGGTACTTCTATACCATTTTGTATCTACTCATTCTCTGTGTATAGTAATCAGTTTATTAGCTTTGCTGTTATATTTCACAGCACCTTGACACTTACTAGAAGTATGACAGTAAATCGTAAAAAACCTATGATGCTTTTGAGCAGTGATGACGCATGCTGTTTTTTTATTCTATTAGATGAAAAAGTTTATATTTTGTCAGGTTCCTCTGTTTGCTTATAATATAATATGGGGTTTAGGAAGCTTTTTTTCATCATATTTTAAAGTGTCTTCTTTTTAAACATCGTTTACAGTTCAAAGTGAAAGAAAATAATATGGATCAATCCTTTGTAAATCACATGTACCAATGATACATTGTATAACCACCAGATCATATTGAAGAGATATTTAAAATATTACCATAATTTTATCAGTTCGCTTAGATGACAGACAGACACTTTGTATGTGTTTGCATTAGTTTATTGATAAGCAGTAAGGATTTCAAAATGCAAGAAAAGCAGAATTCATAGCAGAATTATCAAATGAATTATAGTTGGGTGAAAATAATTACATTATATTTCAAATGAATATAGCATCATTACCTGCAGAGCAGTAATGGAATAATAATTACTTCACCCACTGCCTTCACTACAATCTATTCTTCCACTTCAGCAATGATGTCCGTGTCCAGAGCTGTGCTTGCTCGAGGTGTGGTGGTTGCTCTTCAAGCTGCTGGAGCTGAATCCTCCCTTGTGATAATGGCCTCCTGTGCCATGAGATGTTCCTCCTGAGCTGGATTTTCCTCCAGTGCTGGAATGTAGCACAGCTAAAAGAAAATTCATTACATTTTACCAAGATACAACATAAATATTAAAAGAAAATTACTTAATATATTTGAATGTAGCAAAACTATCTCTATCTAACTATTAGGCAGTGATATACTTCAATATCATTGTTAAGCATAAAAGGGTTTTCCACATCCATTAGGAATGGCACTTATATGGTGTATGATGTTCACACCTCTGTTATCTCGTCTCATGTTAATAATATACACTCCTATAAGTTCTCACATACTGGGTCTGGTACACATGTTCACGTATGCTACTATTCACTAAGAAACAAAGTGTAGCAATTTGAAAAACAGAAATTGGAAGTATGTTTTAGTGCTATCAATAGCCCTCCAGTGTTGTTGCAATTTAGTGCTTTCAACTAAAAGGCTAGTTCCTATAACTTTCATTGAATTCAACTAAGTTTTTTCTTCCTCAAGGTTGACTGATGTAATGCACTGATTAATGAGTTGCAGTGTTATTATCCATGTCTAGTTTTTAAAGCTTTAGAATGTATTATTTTTCCGTAAGACCCATTTGTGATTTTAGTTTGAAGTCCCAAATGACATTTTATTTATTTTATTTTTTTCTGTAACAATCAATTTTTTATTTTTTTTTAAACAATACGAATTTTTCACTTTTTAGGATTGGTAAGAGTTTTATGCTGCAATTTAAAAAAAGTTAATGAAATTGCCATCATTCATTATGAATTTGATATAAAAATATGTATTCACTTACATATCTTAACATGCCCATCTGTAGCCAATCTGAAACAAAAAAAGGTTGTCATAAATTTGGATATTTTACCATTAAATAAATATTCAATATTCTAAAGGTCTAGCAATTAACCTAATATGTAATACATATCTATATTATTTTTGCTCATACTATGCTCACCTGCCCTCCTCTCCTTCCAGCATCTTCCTGTAGGTGGCGATCTCAATATCCAGAGCCAGTTTCACATTCATCAGCTCCTGGTATTCTCGTAGCTGACGTGCCATGTCCTGCTTGGCCTTTTGTAGAGCGCCTTCCAGCTCAGAGAGCTTGTTCTTGGCATCTCTGACAGCAGATTCTCCACGTTCTTCAGCTTCTGTTATAGCTCCTTCCAGGGCAGCACGCTGGGGAAACAAAGAATAATTTTTAAATAGTGAACTACAGTATTTATTTTCATTATTTAATATATTCAGAGAAGTTACATTGTCAGCGATGGCACAGTATCATCAGAAGGCACAGTATCATCTCTTATCTTTCTTTAATAAAGGGACAACAACAGCTTAATGTTGTTGTTCTGGTGAGTATAGTATATGTTGTTGTTCTGGTGAGTATAGACCCTGCAGATATTATGCTATAAACATTGCCTTTTCAAAGAACCACTCAAAGTGCTTTCCGGGGCAGTGCTGCATAATGTGCTCTGCATAGACATGCTGAACTTTCCCCAAAGAGATGCATTAAGTCAATGCATCTCTATGAGGAGATGCTGATTGGCCAGAGTGGCATTTTGCCACTTATGTACAAAGGGAAAGCATTGGATTGGCTGAGATCGAGGGCAGAGCCAACACTGGCAGACGCATTAAATAAAATAGTATCTGGTCCAGGGTTCCAATCCTAGTGTGTTGCCTTGTTCAGTTCATGTTTCTTTTGTGTAATCTATTGAATATATTCCTGTCTGCATACTGTAACAGTCAAAACTCCAGGTCCTGCATTTCAGGTTCCTGTTTAATAACAATCTCGCTGAAAAAAAAAATCTTCCCTCTTGACCTAAGCATTGTCTATGGTAAAGCTTTACATGTTGTATAGACTTCGTCAGTTTGCCACTATTTTGGCTAAAATCATTATGAAGAATGTCTCACGACGTATTACCACCTACACAGAATAACTCTAGAAATCCACATTCTATGCAATCCTAGCATTATCCTATGCATAGCAGTATAATTAAATAGCTATATTTACCTGAGCCTTCACACCGTCTATCTCTCCCTTCAGTCTCTGAATTGCTCGGTTCAGCTCACAGATCTCATCTTTGCTGCTCTGCAGATTGTTCCCATTTCTTCCTGCGGCTGTACGAAGCTCCTCAAACTACCAAAAAAAGTATATTGAAGTGTTATTGAAAACGTATAGAATATAACCTCAGCTGGAAATAAATACTGAAATATTATGTAGTGGATATTGGAGTCTACTAAACTCACCCGTGACTGGTACATGGCTTCAGCTTCGGCTCTGCTCCTGTTAGCAATGTCTTCATATTGAGATCTGACCTCAGCGATGATTCCATCCAGGTCCAGATCCCGACTGTTATCCATGGACACAACCACTGAGGTGTCTGAGATCTGAGCCTGGAGCTGGGCAATTTCCTGCAGGAAAACAAGGGGATAGACACAAAATCTTGTAAAAAAAAAAAAAAAGTGCCAATTAACCTAGAGGATGTAATAGACTTGTTGATGTACTGGTGATCTAATTAAATTATTGAATTACTGGGAAAGTGATTATTACTAATAACAAACTAGGCAAAAGTAAAAAAAAAAAAAAAAGTTGGTTAATCCAAATTGTTTCTTCTTTAAAATATTTTTGTTGCGGATGGTATGATTTTTGTCCTTGTGATGTTTTGGTTTGAACAAATTTCATAAAAAAATTTAAATAAAAAATCTTAAATACACTTACAGCATCATAGAGAGTTCTCAGGAAATTGATTTCATCAGAGAGGGAATCAGCCTTTCCTTGTAATTCCGCTTTGTTCATAAAAGCTGTGTCTACATCCTGAAGAAGACAACAAGGATTGGAAACATGCCACATCAGCAAAATACTAGCAATAATACCTACAGTTGGTTTAATTGATTATAACACATTTGCAGTTCAGCATAAACATATATTTATATATTTTTGCCTTTTCCTTACCCTCTTAAGTCCAACAAACTCATTCTCTGCTGCTGTGCGTCTGTTCACTTCTTCTTCATATCTGTAATAGTAAACATAAAATATCTATAGTATTAAATATAAAACATTGTGGCATCTTGCTTGCTTATTTAAGATGCCCTTTCTTTGACTCTAAACCAAATATGCACCATAATATCCCAGGAAAATAATCAACGGAACAGAACCTGATTCAGGGTCCAAGTCTCAATATATAAAGTTACACAAGATCACCAAACAGTGGGATTTAAGGCGACATTGCAACCCACACAGGGTTTTTTATCACGATGTGCATGGTATCAAACATTGTCTTCTGTTGATCTGGTGGAATCATGTCATTGATTCATGTCTTTTAAAATCCTACTGTTTGTTTAAAGATCCTGTTTAACTTTTATATTAGTTTTCATGAGTATAATTTATAAATGCAAGTGGTATCATAAAAAAAAAATAATACCTTCTCTTTAGTTCCTCTACAGTTTGCTCCATATTGTTCCTCTCTGCTTCCAGACGTGCTCTCTCACAACTGAGATTTTCCAGCTGTCTCCTGAGATTACTGATAAAAGCTTCAAACAAAGGCTCAATTTGACAACGTGAAGTTTTCTGTTCTTGCAGTAAACCCCACTTAGTCTCCAACATCTTGTTTTGTTGTTCCAAAAATCTCACCTAATGTAAAGAATACATTATTCATTTCAGTTTAACCGCTGAAAGACCAAACTTCTGGAATAAAAGGGAATCACGACATGTCACACATGTCATGTGTCCTTAAGGGGTTAATCAAATAATATACCTTACTTAATTGCAACCGGCAACTACATTTCAGTGTTAGTCCCCATCTAGCTGAGAAAAGAAAATCTCAGCTGGAGGTTTGGTAAATTCATCTGTCACATGCAGAGGGATTGTAAATGACCATACATCTTTTCCTTCTCAAACAGTACACTGATAAGTATGAACAGAACTCTAGAACTCCATCAGTTGGGAAGGAGGTAGGGATGCTGGAGCATTATTAATGCTGAGATGCAGGTCACAGTAGCAATATGCAAACCCTATTGTAATACAGATGCCTGGTTTCAGCCAGGCAAATGTATTTTATTTATTTTATGTGTGAATATGTATTTTGTGGATCTGCACTACAATAAATGCTATAAATGCCAGCTGACTCTATTCATACACTCTTAAGCTGAGTATGTGATCATGTTATTCATATTTATTATTCTATAAACTGTTACAAAACAGTTTTGGCACTTGCATAAATATATATATATATATATTTTTTTATAAATTATTGCAAGGCAAATGATAAAGCATTATATGTAATACTATGTGGCTTTATAACCCCCTCTAGTTATTTCAAGATTTATGAATGGTTGAATAAATAATTGTAAAAATAAAATCATGTAAATATTTGTATAATAAAAAGTGTAAAACTGTTAAGAAGGAATATCTACTAATGGTAGAATTAAAAAATAAATATATATATATATATATATATATATATATATATATATATATATATACAAAACATAAAACAGGTAATGTTTAAACAAAATAAAATGGGCCCTACATATTATGTTACATAGTTCTAGAAAGTTAAAATGATAAATATTTAAAGATTTTAGGCATCTTACATTTCATAATTATTTTTATTTTTATACAGTTACATTACTAAAGTGACAATTCTAAACATCACAAATGTTGTGCATTGTGGACTACAATTCTTGACTCTAACGATATGTAGCCACTCATTTGGTGTTTAGCTTCACGTGAGTTATAGTGCAGTAGACATAATCTGGAACATTGAAGGAATAAATTAAATCGCCTACAATTGATTTAAATATGCAAGCCTTCTTATGATTTGGCTCTCAATTTTATAAACATGTTCCGAAAACCTGAAATGTACCATGTTCGGAATCTAAAAATATAATGCCAGCAATTATTGACATTATTCTTGAGATTCTCTTGCCAATAATAGGACTGGTGTGCCTTTCTGTTATACTGAAACTGACTACTTTCTTTCATTTACTGGCTAGCATTCTTTTCATTCTGTATGCATTTGGATCTTTTAAATGTTCCTACCTTGTCAATGAAAGTAGCAAATTTGTCATTCAGACCCCTAATTTGATTCTTCTCCTCAGTTCTCACTCGCTGAATGCTTGGATCAATCTCCAAGTTGAGGGGAGCCAGCAGACCTTGGTTCACAGTTACTTGGGTGATGCCCCCAGAATTTCCTGATCCCCCAAATCCATAGCCATGTCCTCCAATACCATGTCCAGATCCATATCCAGATCCATGACCAGATCCATGACAAGATCCATGTCCACTTTTTCCAGAATGGAAACTTCCTACTGAGATCTTGTGACCTTTGGAGCCCATACTATGGGCACTTCTGCTGCTAAAGCAATGCAGTGGCTTGAGACCATGAGATGCAGATTTGGAAGAGTGAGAGAATGTGTGGTGTGAGCTCCCATGTTTAGGTGAAGCCATTGAACAGGAGCTGAAGTGCTTTTGTCCAGAGATCCCAAGGATGGAGTGATGAGACATGATGTTTCAGCCACAGAGTAGATGTAAAGACCAGATGCAGACGTTTACCGAGTTATTGGAAAATGAAGATGTTTGCTTCTTTTTATACTTGAAGTGAGTGTCATCTCTTAGAATGACCCTGTTATTATGTCCTATGATTCTTGTTTGACACAACCAGTTACTCCTTGTTTCATAGAAAATAAAACAGTCACCCACCTATATTATCAAAGCTAGCATGCATTTATTAGTGTCTACTATTTTACTATGGAACAAAGCTATTAGAATATATAGCTCATAGAAAAAAGATGGGCGAGGTCGAATAGCAAAATAAAATATTTTACATGTCAGATGTATGTGTTATATAAAACATAAAACAGTCACAGGAAATTATAATTTTTTTTAGCAATTTGTCTGAATTAAAATTAAATTACATTAATTTCTTAAAGGGGCATAATATTCATAAATTAACCCTCATTTTAATGCATAAAACAGATAAAACATTAAAGTGATTTTTGTGAACCCTATCCATTAGAGCCCTGAGTGCCCACTCAATCTGCCCCTTTCTTCAGGTATAGCAAAAGTTAAATATATCTAATCGATACATGAATTTTGGCAATATTTTGACAGAACTGATTAGCTTAGAGCAAGGGTGCCAAAAAGGTGGATCCAGATGCTTTAAAACTACAACTTACATGATGCTTTGTCATTCTAAAGGCATTTTAAGGCACACAAAGCACCATAGGAGTTGTAGTTCTACAACATTTGGGGATCTACCTTCTGGGCACCACTGGCTTCGAATGTGGCTAATGCGGAAGCTGGGACTGTGGTGGTTATAATGCATATAAATATTCTAGAGCTATCCCTCTCCAATGATACATTGGTAAAACTATTTTCAATTAAATAGAGTAAATAACATGTGCGTAGGTAGAGGGTAACTGTGTATGGGCATTAACCTGACCCTTGATAAACCCCAACCTTTGCTTTCAATGAAAACACACCAGCCTTGCTTTGGATTAAAATAGGCCACAGCTTTATTAAAATATAAATAAATACATCTTTAAACTTCAACTTTATAACATAAAACACTATATACAGAATTACTTAGTAAAGAGATACATCACTGAGTACCACCTTGCCAACCAAACACAACTTAAGGGCATCTGTCCCCTCCCCCTCGTTTCAACCAGCAAAAGGCCTTTTCTTGGGCCTACCATTGCATAATGTTAACCACTAGCTGGTTAGTTGGCTCAGTTGGCAGATCCGTTATCCATCACTGTCAGGTAGAGGGACAACCCTACCCATCCACTTTCCACAGAACGCTGGTCCAACCCCCAGTTGACAAGAGACATATACCACCACAAGACCCCCTGGTTTACCCCCTAAATCAGCGGGCCGCCCCAACACCACAGCCATTGTCTACTTCAAAGCCTCCTGCAAAGCTAGATTAAATAAATCCAGCCCAACATCCATCAGGTGGACCCCATCACTATGAAAATAAATAGAAGCATTACACTCAAAGATGCGATGACCAGAAGTTCAGAGAGTGCACCACGGACCATATTAAAAACATCCTCGGAAATCGGAGCCAGAGTTCCCCCAAATCCTTCTAGATCTTCTCCCAGAGATCCCACACTGTAACAGTGCAAAGATCGTTTCCCCCCAGCATGTATTAAAATGACATCAGGAACACCGAGCAGGCAGGATAAACGAACCACTTCAGGCAACAGCTGCTCACACCGCATCCCCCAGGTACCGAACCAACGGACTTCTGCCACCACTGTTGACATGCCCAATTGTTGTCCCCCAGGGTGAATGTGAGCCTGCAGCTGTGCCTAATGGATGTATGAATGGATGAATGGATGGATGACACATACTCGCTTTCCAGCACCTATAACAACAAAATGGGAAACGGAATCAGTCCAGATAGATGGACATATGATCAAAACCTCCCAGATTTCCATCCCCCAATCCTTTGGATAACCTCATCAGCCAACCCTAGGCATGATGCCTAAGTAGCAGCCCCTATCCAAAAGAAGTATAACCCAAATTCTGCTCTAGCCAGCCCTGAAACCTTCAAAACCATGCGGAAAACCCTGATAAACTGAAAGCGGGACAAGAAACTGGCATCTCCATGAACCAACAAAGGACCCTCGCCCTCCCGGTGAATCTCACAGAAAGCACGAAGACATGCCACAGGACAAACCATAGAGCCAGGGATGCTCTGTAACGTAACCCAAGTACCCCGTCCCAGAACATCCTTCTTAGACCTGTGAATCCGAAACCTCACGGCATCCACTTTGCCAAAAATATTCCCCAATAACAAACCTCCAGGGAACAATTTGGATAGGCTCACCAGCTCGCCTACCTGCATGGCCCCAAAAAAGGCAAAGGAGAATGCCAACCGAAACAACGCCACTTCAAATGGGGAGTAACAAACCTGCGGCAGAACTGAGAATATGCCTTCCATAAGAGCGCCGGAAACTGGTCTCCGAGAATCCCTTTCTGCCAGCCCCTCATACCCAACAAAACTAGGACATCCTTAGTAATGTCCGACACCCTGGTGAGTTTAAACCAAAAGCTTAACCTAGACAACGTCCTAGACACAGCCGAGGAAGAACAGTCCAAGGCCTCCTTGAACCAAATTAGTTGTAATAAACCCAGCACTCGCTCACCATCCGACCAAAAACCACCTTTGCTGCCTTTCGAACTCTAGCCACTCGCTCCATGCCTTACCATAATGCTGCCAAGTAGACTCCGAGACTGAACCCTGGATCCACGAAATCACTTGGTCAACCCACGGCCCCGATTTGGGCACTGCCGCCCTGAATTCCTACTGCTGAAAATGAGAAAGAGCATCTGCTGTAATATTAGCAACCCCAGGCACATGTACAGCCCTACAGTATGCACAACCTGCATAGACCACCCTACGATCCTTGAGAAGATCACTCCAGATCTCCACAGCCACCACAATATGAAAGAGCCCTGAGGAAGTCAAGTTCTTAGTCAACCCCTCTGAATGCCAAGAATCTGGCCAAGGCTTGGCACACCAGTGAGACCCAAAGATAGCCCCAAAACCCACCGTGCCTGCGGCATCAGTAAACAAATGAAGCTCGGCATTGGACAAGAGAGGCACCTGCCAATATGACCAATCATTAAACCCGTCCAAGATGACCGACCAAGCCCCCAAATCCTTGCGCACTGGGCGAGTGATACGCACATGATGATGAGGGCGATCCTCCCCCAAACAGGGATAAGAGACATCCACCTCACACTACTCCCAGCCACCACCCCCGATCAGGAAGAGAGACCTCTGCCCCTGGGAAACACCCTTAAACCTACTTACCCACCTGAAGGCCCGTCCACCACTCCACCCGCCTGGACTGTGGGAACCATGTGGCGGGTCTGCCGACAGAGACAAGGCCACTGGAAGGCCCTTTAGCAGCTGTATAAAGGGATTCAGCCTGCACCGGAGCTCCATCAGTCTGCAAAGCCGCATACCAGCTGGCCCTGGAAGAAGGACTGTGGCTCCTGCTTCGTGAGGTTGGAGAAGGGGAAGACATATGGGCGCAGACCACCCCACTGCCCATGTAGTGACAGAAGCCCGCAGAGGAGCCTCATGGCCACAGATCTGCAAGACCAGGCCTGCTCTCCTGCTCCCAGGATGGCCTGTAGCTTCCCTTTGAGGGGCAAAATGTTCCTGTGGCCAAGCTTTTCTCAAGGGACCTCCGCTACCGCCCGGATGGGAGCTGGCAACAGCGGAGGCCTGAAGACAAGCCAGCTGAGCCTGCAGGTGCAGACCCTCATCTTGTAAGGCTCAGCCCTGAAGGCAGAGAGGACAGCTTTGATATCAATACCCTGGCCGCAAACAGCACTTTGAAATCAGGTATATCGAGCGCAACACCAGCAATTACCAAACTGTTCCCAACTGATAAATCAGATGGCTGCTATACTGTAAGATGGCAACCTATTTATACTAGCCCACCCATCCAACCCAAACTACTCCACCCCCATCCCAAAACCACTTTACCACATTCCTCTGTATACACTCCCCTCCCATTCACATGTCCCTGTTCCTGCCTAGGCCCTGCCTGGCTCCTCAGGGTCTAACTGGTTGAACATGGAACGCCTTTCTGCTATATCTGACACATAGTCCTACTCAGCCATTTAGAACAAGCAAACGTATAAATTGCAGTCTATAGAAACCCATAAATCATTGGATGAAAATGTGGCATTCTGTATTAAAATGTCTCAAAAGCTATTAATCGTCTCGGCAAGAACCATTTCCTTCTCGTCACTATCCAAATTATTTACTGAACCGGAGCAGCTGGTATATGTAATGGCAGCAGTCATCAGTGATAGGCTGCAAACATTTAGTAACATGTTTGCTAACCTGAGGGTCATTTATAACCTCTACTAGCTACCAGTGGTTTTAATTGCTTCTGCAGCTATTTAGCAACAATGTTGTAAACAAGCTCCTAGTGTGTTCTAATCTACCTTTATTAAGTTAAATAGCAATGCGAGTATGGATTACCTATTGAGACTTACACATTAAACTAAAACTTTAAAGGACCACTAAAGTTATCCAAATAACTTCATCTCAATGAAGTGGTATTGGAAAACTGGTCTTGTCATTCTACTCCTGCAATGTAAAAACATTTATCATTTAGGGATTACAATGTTTACATTGCAGAGTTAAACACACTTCTAGTGGCTGTCTTTCAGAATGGGTGGAGGGTTTCATTACAGTGAGTATATGTTTAATGTTGCAAATGTGTGTGTGGGTTACTAATTGTGTGTAGTGGTGACAAATATCATAATCACTGGGGCTTTTTAGTCTAAACCATCTTTTTATACCAGCCTGGAAAAAGGAGTTGGCACAAGGGGCATTATCTGATTCTCCAGTGGGTAGTGTGCAAGACCTTACCCTGAATAATTGTGGTGATGGTTCATGGTGTCAGAGAGAAGGGATGATATAGGTGGACAAGACTGGATCCCTAGTTTAGAAACAGCCACCATTGCTC